ATTTTATATTATATCTTCTTGCCATTAGTCACACTTTGGATAAAATAATTAAACTTTTGTTTCTTTCAACCTTTCATTCCTAAAAAGGATTGCGATTTTAAATAGGATTAGCGAGATGAATGATATATCAATATTTGCCATTTCTCCTCGCATAAATTACGTTAGAAAAAGGATAATACGGCATTCAATTTAGTGCTCCCGCGATCGCATAATATTATTGCGTTACTTCGTGATGTTCAATGCAAGAGGGTGAGTTTTCCATAAACTTGGTGAATATAAATTACGTGACGCGATACGCGCATATACAACGTGCCGAGTTAATATTTGAACACGAAAAATTGCCATTTTCACGCGCGGAATATCAAACGTTAGCTATAATTCCTTATTCGACGATAACATGTCACGAATATAAACAATATACAATGAAAAAAAACAATGTTTTCACCATGCCTCCGATTTTGTATTTCATTACATTGACAGTTTTGTATTTCATTATAGCCGCTCAATGTAACTTTTCAAGAACAGAAATTGTAGTTATTCAAAATCAATATATATTACCATACCAATAATTTACTTTTTATTTCAAAAGTAACGATCACGTGACTTTTAATTAACTGTCGTTCTGCAATTTGCGATATTTTATATCTACTAGACATAACAGGATCGAAGGAACGTAGACGTCCTTAAAAATCGCAAACTTGGTGAACATTGTAGATAATACATTAAAAGCTAATTATCATCACCGAAATATAAATTTGAAATCAGACTCACGTGACGAGAGCGCAGCTCCGTACCCCACGATGTGTCCCACGGGGGGAATCCCACGTTCAGTTGATATGTATCCCTACGTGGCTCCTGTAGTCACAAAAAGCGCATTCTCACCGTGATATTCGCACTTGATTCGATTTTCACACTTGATATGTAAACGTTAACGTATTCGGGACGGAATCACGCGCCATGACATTCGAACTAACAGTGACGAGTGACGAGCGCCGACTGCGCCACGCGCCGCAGACCGTGGGACTCGCGAGAGGGGCAGGCGCGCGAGCTATGTTAGAGAGGAGGGGGGGGGGGGGATGGTCCTCGCGAACCGCTACCTGTCGTCTCTCATCGCGGCACCCGAATTATGCCGAATAAATCCATTCCAGGAATCTGAATCTTCTCGAGCTCGCCGCGTTCGCGATACGGTCGTACATAAATATTGACAATAATAAACCTGTTCAGATCGCCATAGTAGTCGTCCCACCGTTGGTTCTGCCATTGTACGCCGATTCACTCGCTCGTCGCGAACCGATCGAAAAATTCTCGCGCGATTAATTACACTCGCGTGACTAACGCGCGGCGATATTTTGCGATCTCATCACGGCACAGCTCAGCGATCACTGCAACACTGTATTCAGGACGGAAAAGCCAACGCGCGAAACGACGCGAAACGTTGCGAGTACGAAGCGACGCCTCCTACACGCGATGCGTTTGTTTCGAATGTGCCGCCAACTTCACGTCGCTGCACATTCTAGCCGTATTAAGAAAAATCTCGAAGATTAATTAGATCTTCACATCTTCAATGAAATTAATTAGACTTCCGCGACGCTAATAATTAATGATTGATTAATAATTAAGAATAAAAATACCAATAATGTGAGAACAATAGAATTGTATAACGGAATATGACGCACACATGTAGAGGGAGACATGTTCTCACACACACACATACACACACACATATTATGATTATCGAAAAACGATACTATTCGCGATCGCGCGGGTTAATTAACACTCCGCATAATTGAACACGGCTCCGACTAGATATTCGTGACATCCAACGAATCGTGAGACCAATTTTTAACTCGAAAATTAAGAGAAAAAATGTGATGTAATCACACACGTCCGAACTGTGAACGACTAGCGGGAACAGTCAGAAAGGAGAGGGGGGGAGAGAGGGGATAAGAAAAGGAACCAATAATAAAAAAGAAGATAACCGCTATGATCAAAATAAAAACAAGCTGCTTACGATACATGCAAAATCTTTGTAATTATAAGAATATTATCTTATTGTATATTCAAATATATGAAATATAAACAAGTCCTACCTAGTATAGATTTTAATACGATTTAATATGATAATATATCGATTTTAATAATATTTAGTATTGTATATGACTAGTGTATTAATACACTAAACGCGTTTTAATACAACTATAATTTCAAAATATTTTAAATATATTTTTAATGTTTTTTATTACGATCAATAAAGTTGCAACAAAACAATGTACTAAATAATGAATTAAATATCTCATTAAAAAATTATAGTTACGTGTGTCACTTTGGTTTGATTAGCACATCAATTAGCAAAGAAATTAGCAGTTCAAATGACACTATTTCTATTAAATTTTAATTCTCGGATACGTTAATATGTTATAATTAATTAAAATTTTTAATATATAATTGAGCAGAATAATATTATAGGTCTTTAATTTTCAATAGTGGTGAATCAGGTAGGAAATATATACTTTTAAATATTTTATTAATATTTACCTATTATAACTTTATCGGTGATTTCGGATTAATGTGAATGGAATGGTGAAAGGAATGAAAGAGAGATGCGATGACCATGAAATTTCGTAATTATATTTTTCAATATAAGTATAATAAGTTTCGTGGCAGTACATTAAATAGTTGCGAGTGCATTTATGATAATGATGTGTGTTGCTTAATAATCTCGAATTGGAATAGTAATAAAATAACTTATAATGTCTCGAATGTTGCATAAACACCGAATCGATAAAATCGATTGTATAGAAAATGCGTATTGTAATTTATTCCCCTTAATATAAATTAAAAGTAAAAAGAAAGATAAAATTCGTGTAATTGTATTTTTAAATCCTGTGTAAATCAAAATTTCAAATAATTTAAATATTAATCCAAATCCAATAACCAAAATCATAACATCAAACAAAATTTTGAACATGCAATATTAATAATAACAATTATATTTCATACATTTAAATACGTTTCGCAAATTTCCTTTAATTATATCATCAGAATTTATCAGGATTCAGCAAAACGTATTTTATGAATAATTTCATGAATATTTAGAACATTTTATTAATTATATTTGTACAATATTTTTAGGAGAATAAATATAAAATTAATGTCGTGAAGTGTTGCATCTTTCTTTTAATTCCATTCCTGTAAATCGCAAACGAAATAAATACAACTGATTTACAGATGGAAAATGGATTTGCATAATATCGATAAAACTTACTTTCATATAAATATCATATCTATATATATGTATATATTTATGTATAATATAATAATATATAAATAGCGCTAAAGTCACAATGTGCATCTTAATTTTTGGCGTAAATCACGTTTAAAACCTACAAACTACTGTAAATTGCGCGCAAACCTGCTATGCTTACTAGAATCGATATTAAGGGCAAAACAAAACGAAAACAAGAAACGAAAAAATAATTGTTATCGTTTATTAAATTCTAAAAGTTGGAATTCCGCGATGAAAAACGCGTGTAAAATGAATGACGAGCGAACGAATCACAGAACGACAATAGTTTCATCATTTTACGAGTAATTAAGCCTTACACACACGCCATTACGATTATGTACAAAATTTGTCGATGGACATCACGAGCGCGATTCAAAAATCGTCGGGGATTCGCTGCAGCGAAAGTGAGACCACGGCTTAACAACAGTCGAGCGACAAAAAGCGCGATGTTATGATTCTGACCATTCCTATATTTGATAAAGCTAAGTCAAGACTTGATCGAGTCTTATTATTTTACAGAACCTATCTTTCTGTTCTTTTTGAAATTTCCGAGTTCCAAAAATTCCACATTATACATGTATATTTTGTACTATGTTCTCTAATTTCGATATACATAGTTTAAAATTAAAAAATACTTTTGCGACTTTAATTTCGCTTCAATTCACAGAATAAAAAAAAAAGAAAAAGAAAAAACAAAAAAATAAATAATAATAACTTACAACAATAATGAATAAAAAAATATAAAAAAAAAACAATACTACTACT